CCCCCCCCCCCCCCCTTCTTCTCGAGGACGCGTGGTCAATGATCAATCAACTAGGTCATGCAAACATGAGCACCCTCCCCTCCCCCGCACCCTCTCGAAACACGCCTCCCTCCACCAGGTACTGAGGCGTTTCGCAGACGGCGTGATGGAGCCCATTCCCCTGAGCAACCTCTCCTTCAGGCCGTCTCCCGATGGTCACCTTAACCCTCTCCTGCTGCCCATCCAGCTGCCGTACCTGATGGTGGAGCGCATCATCACGAGAGTCGAGAGCGTGCTGAAGCTCTCCGACGAGGATAAGGTGTGCATAACACAGGGGTTGTGGAGACATTCAGTCTATGAATGTATCTATTCAAGAACTTGACCAAAGAAACATGTGCTCGGTAAAGAATCTTAGTCGGTGTTGATATTCCTCACACCAGTAAGCAACTATTTAGCCGTTCGGCCTAATAGGAGGTTCTTAAGAGGTGACGCCTTCTATATGCAAGGGGTCACTATTCAGGGTTAACGGGAGTCAACAGACAAAACCCCGTGTCAGCACATGGGCTTCTCTCGTCCAGACAGCAGAAATAGAGGACAAACCTTGACTTCGACCTTGAAAGCATCCGTTGTCTTCTTCTACGCTTGGATCGACCTTTCATCTCATCCATAGCCTTAGGTAGTCTCAGCCGAACCATCGATCTCACCAACCAGCTTCTCGTCCAGGCAGCAGAAATAGCGGACAAACCTCCCCTTCGACCTTGAAATTATCCTGGCTCTTCATGTACTCTTTGGCCCGCGTTTCGCCTCAACCTCAGCCTTACTCAGCCGAAGCATCGATCTCACCCACAAGCTCGACCTCAACTATGCAACCTTTGCTTCAACCCTCGACCTTGGCCAACCGCAACTCCAGCCTCGGTTTATCCGTAGCCTGAACCGCAACAAGACTGGCCTGTGTTACATCTTCCCTTGGTCTTGACCAATCACAACGTGAACCTTGACGCTTCCAGGAGACTCTCCGGGCGACGGAAAGGCTAGTTGACATCTTCAGGAGAGCTACAGTAAGCACGAGCGGCGCGAAGAATCCGTTGACAGCGGGGGCAGCCGAGAGAAGAGAGTGGCAGTACGAGGATGCTTCCCATGAGGCCGAGGTGGGCCAGATAGCACCGCTGTTGCAATCCCCCGGTCGACATACATAGCCATTTTGGGGTTTTGACGGTGTGTTACGCGTCCGTTTCCTAGACATTTCGCACAGAACTGTCGACATACGGAGTCCCTCACATTTTTACGAGGGGTTACCCATCCGTTTCCAAGAAGGTTCAACCTTGGAACCGCCTCGCTAATAGCAGAACGGGATGCGCTTTTCTCAATTCTTCTGACATATTTTGATCGAGAGACAGTACTATGGACGACCGCTTTCGGGTAAACCATTTACGGAGCCTCCGAGTGACGATTCGCTCAGAGTCGGTTAAACTGGAAGACGCATTCCCAGACAGAGAGATAGAGAACCAAAGAGGGAGCTAGAGAAAGAAAGAGAGAGAGAGAGACAGCGACAGAGACAGCGACAGAGACAGAGACAGAGACAGAGACGGAGACAGAGACAGAGACAGAGACAGAGACAGAGACAAATCGCGCGAAACACTGTTCATCAGGCAACGATTCTTCGTGCTCGGTGCGCAAAGGTTGCGACAAGATCACCAAAGAAAAGCGCGGCGCTTAGAACAGCCGAAAAGGTCGTTAGCGCCACCACCACCACCACCACCACCACTCCTTCGTTCTTACCATATCCTCGAATGAACCCCTCCCTCAGTAGGCTTGTGCGTCGAAACATATACCGGGAGGCGTCGACTAGTGCCCAGAATAGACGGGACACAAGAAGAAACAACTAACGGTTGTTGTCATGCCGGCGTGTGTCGCTAACCCCCACCGGACAAGGTTGTCACAAAGACCCTCCGAGTTCGTTCGCGTCTCCTGTCAGCGGTCCGTCGTCTTGGATGCCAATGAAGCCCTAACCCCAGACGTCCCCGCCGCCCGTCCGCTTCTTCAGGGTCAGAAGCGAGCGCGTTTCCCGGCGTCGTTGATCAAGACCATCCCGAAGCTTCGGCCGCGAGACATTGCGGCCACCGCCAAGACTTTGGCGCCGCTGGCACCGGAGATGATGCCCGGCGCCCAGGTCGTGGCGAGCAAGTTCATGAGGCGGCTCGCGGGGAAAACGTTGGCGAGGATCGCCGACAACGTCATGCCTGAGGTTAGTCCACCACAGTCTGCAGCGCACTATTTTTCATACAGGCCGCCGTCTGTTCAGTCTGATTCCCACTTGAAAGTCATGTGCTCCAAAACCTGCACGCTCGTGGTCTTGCAACTACCGTAGGTTGCATAAGATATCACACCCCCTGGACCGATTTTCAAAGCTCGATTGCTCCACGACGAAGAGGATGCCGAAACCAAAGGATATGTTTTCGGAAAGTTCTCGACGACACGGTTCCAACGCCATAATTTTCGGCACCGTCACTGCTTTTCCTGCCGAGAATTCGAGCTTCGAAAATCGGTCCAGGGGGTGTGATATCTTATGCAACCGACGGTAGTCTGTGCTCCTGATATGGTATGACGGTATTTTGTGCGATATGTGGGTGTTTGCTAGAGCTGCAAATTGCACCCCCTCCGCTTTCGATCCTTGGATTCGCGAAGTATACAGTAGGTACGTGGTACCGATGGGGTGAGGTGATTTTACGCATTGTGACGGTAGGCCGCCTTCGACGCGCTTGCTGAAACCCAACTAGGCCTGTACTCCGTAGGCGATTGCCTGATATATTCGCTGTCGATTCTTGTTAATGTACTGAAAATAGACTGGAGAAAAAGTTAGTGTATGCAAATCGCGAAAACAATCGCCTACGGAGTACAGGCCTAAACCCAGCGGCGGTGTGATGCAGGCGGGTTTTCTCACTTGTGTTCCCGAGGCGAACCTGTGGCACCGGACAGACATACGATCTGTACAGATGACGCCACCTTCACCCGAGTGCGTGGCCCGTGAAACATCGAAGCTCCTTTTGCTTTGAATACGAATTCCCACACGAAACCCATTAAAGCAATCTATTGTAGTGGTTGTTGGTGTAGCCCACGACGCCAACGAGATCTAGAGCCTACACGTCAAGTATTGTTCGGTAAGTGGTGCGCCAGACACAGCAGTATTCGGAATCAACAACTGCTGTCCCTACGTGATACGCATTTTGTCTGGTTGTTGCCCGTTCCCACCCACCGCCCCGCTCACGCTTTTGTCGGTGTACCGCAGGGGACCGCGGCTGCAGAAGCCAAAGATCTGTTGGCCGACCAGCACTTGTTTATGGGCACGGGAAACATGGGTCCCGGTCCTTCTCCTGGAAAGGGGATCGGGGGCGGTAACGGAAAGTTTCCAAGAAAAATCGTCGGATGAAGGACAGAATGAAGGCATACCCGAGAACAAGAATAGGTCCTGGCAAGAACCCCTTGGAACAAGAGGACCGAGGGTGCGGGCCGTGGGGGAGGTCTTCTGCGATGTTGAGCACGGCGCACAGACCGTCTTGGAGCCGTCTTCCATCTTTGAATCACGTCAACCAGCCGGAAGTGGCCGCGGGGAGCTTGCAGTACTGCCGCGCGCAGCCATTACCCCCCGCCAAAGGTTCCAGCCGAAAACAGAGGGGGGAGGCGTGGGCTACATACCAGCCGCATGAGCACGCAATACCACTCAGTATTCTCCCTATTTGCACGAGGCTCGGGGTTCGTTCGTATTTACTCTCCAGCTTGCCAATTTAGACCATTACACGGGTGGTGTGAGAAGATACGGAGAAGATATCGGAACGCTTTGAATATTGAAGACAACAACAACAACAAGCCCACACATTTCAAGGCGCTGGGATAGCATCAATGTCCCAGGGCTGCAATCATACAAACAGGTTTCATGGAGCCATCTATCTAGGGACTATCATATTTGTATGGACTAGACTATGTTGTTGTTGAGGTGATCAACGTTGTCACAGGGTTTCACCATAGATACCTGGACGACTCGTGTCCCAGTAGGGCGTCACCTGAAGGATATCTGATTTCTTTCAAGCGTTCACTCGGTAACGCTTTCCTAGGCGGACACATTTTCGGCCGTGAAGCCATCAGGCGGTATTTTTTCGGTGGCAGGCGGTATTATTGCGTTTTTGGCGGTAGCGACAGTAGTGGAGGCGGTAAAACCTGAATAGTATTGCCGTATGCCTGGCGGCATTTGTTTTGGTGGTAGGCGGAGGTATTGCGTTTTTCGGCGGTAACGCCTTAGGAGGAGGCGGTTAAACAAAAAAACGGCGGAATTTTTCTGGCGGTAGGCGGCATGTGCATGATTCGACCGTAACTGTCTACTTTGGCGGAACCCGTAAACTAGAAACCAGCGGTAAACTGGTGGTACACCGGTACAGTCCACCAAAAGGCGGTATGTTCACGGTAGCGATGAATGCCATATGACCGTTAATTGAAGCGATACCAAGCAAGGCGGCAGGTGCTAAGATACAGCGTCCGAACGAAATACCAACTGTTCTCCGCCGGTTTAACCCTGTACACCTGCCTGGCATTGGTGTGGAGTTTCACCAGTAATGGTTTTCACGGTTGCTTTAGCGTCACAGTCGACGAGACGAGGCGCCTCCCCACTCAGCCCATCGGTCACTTTCCCGTCAGTGGTAATGTACTTGTATCACGGTACTTTTCAGGCGAAAGTGCCGTGTGACGGTATTTGTTTTGGCGGTATCGGTATTATTGCGTTCGTTTTTCGGCGGCAACGGCTCATGGTCGAAGGTGGCAAAACAACGAAAAGCGTTAATTTCTCGGCGGTAGCGCCTTACGGCGTTTGTTTATTTTCTGGTGATAGGCGGTGTCGAGTTTGGCGTTGGCAATAAATAAAAAAAGGGCGGTGAACCGGTCGTGTACCGGTAACGCCCACCGGCGGTATTTTCACGGCGGCGGCCCTAAAATTACTGAGTACCCTTCGGTTTCCCCCCGCTTAACTGGGCAGAAGCGGACTCCCCTGGTAAGCAGGTCGAGAAGCTACGTTTGTTTAAGGCTAGCCTACCCGTGGGCACGGTTGAAACTGTGGCGTAGTTATAGCGGGTCTGCCTCGAAATCGCGCACACGCACGTTTACCACACCACCTTCTCTACGTTCAACGCCGCGAAAACTTGTTCATGGATAGAGAGATGGATTCACCGTACGTAGTCGACTAGCCTTCAGCGTCCTAATCTCTGCGACACGTATGGCTTGAACCCGACGGAGAGCCGATCGATGTGTCCATGTACAGTACATCCAGGTGATGATCAAGCGGGTGGCGCCCAACATCATGAAGTGGGCTAGGATCAGGGTTAGGTTTCGGAAGCTGACCAGCACTAACGACCTTTTCCTCCACGGCGTTGACCACGGCCAATCCGTCCCCTTCGAAGACCTCCACTGCGGCGGTATAACCGAAGCAGCGGTGGTTGCCTCCTCCGAAGTATCCGTGGCGGCAGGAGCATCGCCCTTGGTCTCGGTCTCTTCCTTCGAGGGCACTGGAGGACCAAACAGTCAGTGATTGCAATCGAGAAACGCCTACCGCGTGTAAGAGAGAAACCGTATGCTTTACCTGTGTAGACGGTAGCAGTTATGTTACCTTCTGTTTCTTCAATGCTTTTTCACAGGAATAAACAAACCGAACGGCCGGGCGGACGCATAGGAAGAAGCGAAATAATCGCTGTCTCTTTCTCGAGAGAGAACCTGCAGCAGTAGTCCCGCAACACCTACTACATCAGTTCACTAAATGGACACATGTTGTGGGAAGCCGTGCAATATGTGGAGAGATATCGAGAAAGATGTGTGTCGTGTTGGTTGGGCCGACAACCCGCGTACATACTGCTGTATGCACGTGAAACGGTTACTACGCCCGACAGTACTAGATCGCATCGCGCTTATAGCAGTTAGAGATCTAGCGATCCTGTCTTCTTACAAGCGACATGTCCGGTGCATCGAGCGTGACACCACTGCATTCCGGCTACTGGCAATAGCGACCTGCCCTGAACAACGACCATACTCACTCCTGACACTGGGAGGGTTGCTAAATCGGGCCACCACAGCACATCATTGAGTACGCCCACCACCCACCACATGAACAGGAAACGTTCGACTGCTGTGGGTATATCTCGAATGGGTAGTCTTTCTGTGTGTGTTTATATTATTCCTTAATGATACTCCGTTGTAGTTGCATATGTCAGAAATCACATACCGTCGTCTATTCTGCGGCGCCCCTCTCGGCATGGATTCCATTGATGTTGCTACACAAATCAGATAGCACAGCAGTAGGCAGGGGTGTGGTGTGTCTCCCTCACACCCCGCGCTGGGGCTCACGCCACGAGATGAGCTACAAGAAGCGGCCGCCGTTTCCGCCCAGCAGGTCGTACGAGGTGAACGTTGAGGACGAGATCCCCCTGCTGAGGATTCACGTCGTGTCCGCGAGGGGATTGCCGAGGTCCGCCGGCGCGGTGGGGTTGGCTCGAGCCCGGGGCATGCCCGACCCTTACGTGGTGGTCAAGTTCAACGGAGAAAAAGTGAGCCTATTGCCTTGTAACCCTTGCGAGCACTCCTCGCGGAGAGGGGGCGACTGCCACGCCTGCTGACTGGAAAATAATTGCCATTTGCTGTTTTGCTGTGTGTCCTTTTGAAATCGCGACGACACTTTGGTTCTTCAATCCAAGAACACGCGCGTAAGGAGCTTCCCAGGGATGCTCCAGCAACAACGTGGTTTGAGGCGAGCTGGCTTTCATGCTGGTGTTTCTGTCGGACAGGCACAACTACGGTGGCTTGTTTGAAAACCCAACAGCTTGTGCCCTTTTTCCAACAGGGTGAATTTTTGTCCTATTTGACAGCGGTATCTATATTTAGCTGACCATGCACCTCCCTTCTGCAACCTCCGCTTGACTACATAACAGCAGCAGTGACTGCACCATTTCCATGTTGCAGTTTGTGCTGCTTTGTAATTTGTACTGCTGTAGCCCCCCGGTGTTGTTTGCATTTGTTCCGACTACTATGCTATATGCATACAACACTGGCTGTGCTGCCACAATTTGGCCTGTACAGCAGTGTACGCTCCGCCACTTTGAGATAAAGAAGTTCAGGCAAAAAAACAAAAACAGTCGAAAAGATTAAGAACTTGACCTGTAAATACTGCTGACAGGTGCTCCTCACTGCTACCAAACTGTCTTGTTGAGCCTGTTATTACCCACAGGGGAGATTTCGCTATGTGCTGCTCGGGAAATCGTGGAAATACAGGTAGCCTTCGTCTGACGCTATGGATTCATAGCTTATCTATATTTGACTCTTTTCTCAGATAGAGATGGATTCGTTGTGTCATATTAAGAAAAAAAAAAAGGAACCTAAACAGCAGTCGCTGGGTTCGCGGGACATACCGTACGAAGCAAGCCTTCGTGGAAAGTGAGGGAGGTTCTTGAGCGATGGTGTACACTGCTGAAGCACAGCGTAGTTTGGATGTCTTCGTTGAACACCCTCGAACAGCGCGGGTAACGTATGCATGCATAGGCATACAACAGCAGTAGTTTTGGAAACATGTCGTCGAGGGCTTTCCGTACATGTATCGAGCTCTTTCCGCACACCCTTGGCTGTGGAGCAATCAATCGACCTTTGAAAGACGGTCTGGGGGGAGTGCCATCTCTCCGCCTCTTACGGAATACCACGGTACGGTATACGGTACGGTACAGACAATCTTGGTTGTGGAGCAATCGACCTTTGAAAGACGGTCTGGGGGGAGTGCCATCTCTCCGCCCCTGTACTCAAGTGCCGTAAGATTGCGAGTCAGCGCACAGGGGTGCGGACGATTTTCAAAGCGGAATTTCTCCACAACCAGGAGGTTACCACGGTGTCGAAAAGGGCGGTTTTGGAAGTATCTCATCGAGAGCTTCCTGAGAAGTATCAGTTGCGCTCGCACCCTCCTGGTTGAGGAGAAATGACGCTTTGAAAATCGATCGCACCCTGTGAGCTGACTCGCAACCTTATGGTATACTACGCGTATCAGCCACGACCAGAACGTTGTCAAGGTGGCCAATGTACCACATACCAGACAACACAGAGAGGGCTGCAGAGATCATCTACAGCAGTAGCGTAGACTACGTGAGCCTGAGCGTTGGTGAGTTTTCTATCTCTGTCTTCACTCGTGTGGCATCACACTATACCAGTGTAGGCTGGCATTGGCGTGTTTTCCATGTATCTGTCTCTGTCTCTGTCTCTGTCTCTGTCTCTCTCTCTCTCTCTCTGGACATGTGGGTGTCTCAACACGACAGATATTGTATTCCACTTAGCGCACGGTTGGAGGAAAGACGGGGCATTTCAAAAATACAAAGGGGAGATGTCCCTATATGCTGTCTGGGAAATCGTAGACATACAGGTAGTTTTTTCTGACGCTATGAATTCAATGCTAATCTGTCTCTGACTCTTTTCTATGATAGAGATGGATTCGTTGTGTCATATTAAGAAGAAGAAAAAAAATCTCCTGTAGCTGCATGACCTTCGTCCTGTGTGACCCCGGCTGATATGGAAGTCAAACATCTGCAGCAGCAGTAGTAGTAGTGGTATTGGTCAAGGCCCCTCTGCACAAAATTTGAATATCATCTCATCCGTTCCTTCGCCCCACAGAAGGTTCAAATTATCGAACGCCTGAAAGACAAGGCGGTGTTGGGGAGGCTGATATTGTTAGAAAGTAAACATAGCCTCACAGACAGACTATAAAATATTGTACCCGTTCGAGATATAACCTCAGTCGAAAGGGATGTGTTGAAGTCTGTTCAGTAGATATTGTGTCTTGTGTGGGTTGTCGTCGTGTATGTCTGGCGACAGTCCCCCCATTTTTCGTGGTGAGACGTGTACCACACTCTTCAGTGTATGAAGAGTACTACACTTTTCAGTGTATTTTTTTCGTACAAATATAACCATCCAGGGTCACACAGGAGGGGGTAAACACCGGGACTTTTTTCTGAAAATGACCGCCTTACCCGGGGCAGCCACCTTACTCAATCACAGCAGCTTGATTATTCCAGTAGTCTACGCAGCAAATATTGATGAAGCAAACATATGGGATAAAGTTTTCAATCCGTGCTTTGGGGTTAGGGTTAGGGTTAGGGATTAGGGTCTGCGTGCCCCGTCCCTATTCTTTTTCTAGATACTCTTTGAAATCCTGCGTAGGCGGTCCGATTATTCCGTCCATGCCAGCCAATTTCACTCGCCTTCCATAGGGCGGCCGCCACTCAGACCGCCGTATTCAGGGGTCCCCACGGACCGCCTACGCAGGATTTTAAGAGTTTCTATTATAGAAAAATAATAGGGAGGGGGCACGCAGACCCTAACCCTAACCCTAACCCTAACCCCAAAGCACGGATTCAATACTTTATCCCATATGTTTTTGCTTAGTCAATTTTGCTGCGTAGACTACTATCCCCAGCTGTACTGCACTGTACAATTGTAGTGGCGCCAGAAAAAAAATGGGACGAACAATCGCACCGAGACTCAAACGTCTTTTCATTGGTCAGCCGGTTAGCGCCGTCGATGCTAGCTAAGAAAGCTTGCACACTGCCCGGTCGATGCTAGTGCTAAAGACACACGACACACGTTGGGATTCGCCATCTTACAGAGTCGGAGTCCATCTTTACAGAGGGCGAGTTATGCACTGCGCTGGCGCCAGAAAAAAAATGGGACGAACCATCGCACCGAGACTCAAACGTCTTTTCATTGGTCAGCCGGTTAGCGCCGTCGATGCTATAGCTAAGAAAGCTTGCACAACCACCCAGTCCGATGCGGCGGGTTATGTAGGACGGGTTATCTTACGGATGGGCGGGTGAAATTTCTTGGCTCACGCTTGCTAACATAGAATAGTCAAGTCAATGTTATGCTTTTATATGCATGCAGGTATGGCGGGTAAATGCGGCGGGTTATGTAGGACGGGTTACCGGATGGGCGGGTGAAATTGCTTGACTCTCGATTACTAGCATAGAATTTTCAAGTCTTTTTATGCTTTTGTATGCATGCAGATACGGCGGGTAAACACGGCGGGTTATGTGGACGGGTTACCTACCGGATGGGCGGGTGAAATTGCTTGACTCTCGATTGCTAGCATAGAATATTCGAGTCATATTATGCTTGTATGCAGATAGGGCGGGTAAATGCGGCGGGATATGTAGGACGGGTTATCTTACGGATGGGCGGGTGAAATTACTTGGCAAAGACACAACATTCAAGTCGTTTTGTGCTTGGCATATGCATGCATACGGCGGGCAATGAGGCGAGTTGTGTAGGACAGGTTATCGGATGGGTGGGTGGAATTCCTTGGCACATAGAACACACACAGAATTACTGCACATTCATTTCGTGGGCGTCTCCATGAAATACATATTGGGTTTGGGGTGTTGTTTGTGCATTTGTTTAGGGTATTTTGTATTTTTCAGGTTTGGGGACGCAATATATATACAATGTTCAAGTCGTTTTATGCTTTGAATATGGCGGGTATGTAGGGCTGGTTACCGTATGGGCATATATTAGAACATGGTAGTTGAGTAAATAGTGACCTGGAGGAACGATTTTTTATGTGAAGACAACAGCAACAGCAACTGCAACAGCCACCACAACAACAAGAACAATAAGAACCACCACAACAACAAGAACAATAACAAGAACAATAACAAGAACAATAACAACCACCACAACAACAAGAACAATAACAAGAACAATAACAAGAACAATAACAACCACCACAACAACAAGAACAATAACAAGAACAATAACAACCACCACAACAACAAGAACAATAACAACCACCACAACAACAAGAACAATAACAAGAACAATAACAACAACTTTGGTGTCCTAGGTCGGGTGTACGAAGGCCGATCGCGGTACGAGGAGGCCGGAGTGGAACCAGAACTTTCTCATCAGGTCAGACCTCGCCGAGCCCGCCGCAGCCCTTCCCAGGCGAGACGTCGGAGATGTCGGAGATGACGTGTCTAACCCAGACGACGACGACAACCGCCAAGAGCCTCAAGGGGAAAGAAATCGCTGCTGTGAGTCAGTCAGTCCATTCATTTTTTTTCTCTCTTTCTTTTTTTTTATTGTCTGTGATGCGCTTTTTGTTTCCTTCCCCCCCCCTTTGTCTTCCGTTTCCCCCCCCACGCTTTTGTGCCCTATTTTCCCCCCTTTTTTATTCCTTTTTTCTCGCTTTCCACCCCCTTGTTGCTCCTGTTTTGCTCCTTTTCGGGGGGGGTTGGCCACAGATGTAGCCAATCCGACACTAGTTCTCAACACACAGTGGCGATGCCAACTGCTGCTTTCTTCGTTTTTTTGTTGTGCGTGATGTGACATGCCCCGCTTTCGCGAAAGCGTGCTCCGCCGAGGCCGCTACCGGCGAAAGGGGCTCCGCGGACTGCGAAGCGGAGGGGTACCCAGAATGGTACAGATTATTGGACGACCCCTCCCCCATCAAGACTCGCAACAGCAACAGCAGCAGCAGCAGCAGCAGCAGCAGCAGGTGTGGGGTTTGCAGGCGTAGGGGAGGCGTTGACGAGGTGGTGCTGGAGCTATGGGACGAGTACGTACGAGAAGACGAGAAGGCGGGGGATGGGGGGGGGGAGGCGGGGGGGGCGGGGGGTTCGAGCGGGGGTGGAAGCGGCGGCGGCGGCGGCGGCGGCGGCGGCAGCGGCAAGAAGAGGAGATCGAGCATTAACAAACCCAACGATCTGTTTGGTGAGGGCGTGCCGACCGATGGTACCTATTCGGGGTTTGTAATATCGCGGGCGTGCTGGCGGAATGGGGTTTTGGTGTATGCTGTAGACGGCGATGTGAGAGACGGTGGGATTGGCGGGAGAAGAGAGGACGGCAGCATCGACAAAGGAGGCCGAGCAAGTGCAAGCCCGAACATCCATTGCGATAGTTGTTGGGGTTGTGTTTGTGCCAAGGTGGGGTTGCCGTTGCTCTTGTTACTTCTGTGGCTGGTGTGTTCATTGGGAGTTATTTTTCGACCAAAACCTTGGTCGTTACGGGAGCATGCTGAACATTCGCAACAGCAGCAGCAGCGTTGCATTTACTACCCATGTCTACTGTTTGGCATGTGACATGCGTCCTACTTCAAAGCCAAAAACAGTACTACGCGGCAACGAGTAAATGAATCCGCATGTTTTCCCGACGCCCCATCATGTCTGTCCACATTCTCACGTGGTTGTCATTCGTCTGACGAAACCCCTTCGCTCGCACAAAAAAAAAAAAAAAACGACGCCAAGACGACCGGTTGTTCGACGTGAGCTTCGTGTCGAGGTGCTTCCAAAAGGGAGCGCTGAGGCGGGTGCAGGGCGCGGTGATCGGAGGGGACAGGTTGATCGGAGTCTGCCGCATCTCGTCGAGCGAGCTGAGAGGGCTCGGGTCGTCCACGGTGCCGGCGGACCTGAAGCTGAGGGACCCCAGGTAGGTCGGTCACGCTGCTTTTGCTGCTGTTGCTGTTGTTTCCGCTGCTGCTGCTGCTGCTGCTGCTGCTGCTGCTGCTGCTGCATTTCAATAGTGAAATGTTGTGGGATTGTTGTGTTTGTTACCATTGGTGCTGCTGCTGCTGCATTTCAATGGTGAAATGTTGTGGGATTGTTGTGTTTGTTACCGTTGGTGCTGCTGCTGCTGCTGCTGCTGGTCGATAGTGTTAATTGTGTGTGTGGGTATGACTGTGACCGCCGCCGCCGCCGCCGCTGCTGCTGCTTCAGCATTGAGGTGTTGCGTGTTGCTGTGGTAAATGTCGCTCCTGCCAGATTTTGCTCGGGTGATGCTCAATAGTGTTGGTGCTGCGGTTGCTGTTCAGCTCTTGGGTAAAGAATTGCTGCTGCTGTTGTTCAGCTCTTGGGTAAAGAATTGCTGCTGCTGCTGTTGTTGTTGTGCAGCTAGTCCGCCAATCCAAGAAGTCTCTGTTCGGATTGCTGGACCAGGAGCAAAGGGAGACGCACTGCTGTGTTGTCGTTCGCCGCTTTGTTTGCCATGCTTGTCGCGTCTCGTCATTTGCGCAATTTGTGTTCTTTGTTAAGTCAGCCCTTGCGGGGCTTGAAACTCAGAGGCGCAAGGTATGAGCGGCCCCGTACAAGCGCAGCGAATTGCGAGTGCTCGCCCTTGTTATTGACACTATCGTAGAGGAAACAGCTGACGCCGCCCCTTCTTCTAGAGACGGGCCTAGTGGCGTTGCCACCACCGGGGCACCCATGCCCACAACGCTCTCGAAGACCCTCCGAGCGCAAAATTCCTTGTTTCCTCGTACAGTATGCGTACACTCCAGTACGAAACCTTTACAACTCGTCCTGCGTACCCCCCCTTCTCGCCCTGAAACGTTTGTCTCTCTCTCTCTCTCTCTCTCTCTCTCTCTCTCTCGCTCATTCATATAAGAGGCTGGCTCGTGGTGGAGCAGCAGCTTCTCTGCGTACCCACCCACCTACCCACCCTTTGTCTCATCCCGACCCCCCCCCCCTCCTCTCTCGTTCAAATCCCTTCCCTTGTTCAGGGGCTCGTGGTGGCAGCTTCTCTGCGTACCCACCTACGTACCCATCCTTGGTCTCATCCCGACCTCCCCCCCCCCTCCTCTCTCGTTCAAACCCCTGTCCTTGTTCAGGGGCTCGTGGTGGGGCAGCAGCAGGGGTACCATCCGCATCGCCGTGAGCCTGGAAAGGCTGCAGGCGAACATAATCCGAGCCGCGTTGCCCCCGAAGAGAGCGTCGGTCCTGGGGGTACCGGAGGGGGTGACGCGGACGGCGTCCAGCGAGGCGAAGGGGGAGGAGGCCGCCCCTCCCACGGAGCTTTCCTGCAAGGTGCTTGGCCCTATTATTGTTGTCGAGTTCACTGCTGTTGTTTGTTATTGTTGGTGGGGGTGGTCGTGGAGGTCGTGGATGTGGCGGTGCTGGTGGTGCTGCCGTTGTCTTCACGTTAAGAACCGCACGAAGCTCGGCCGTGATAAAGAGGGCCCGCGTATCTACCTCACCAGCACTTTCTGAATGCTCTCACCCTTGTGCTTGGGCGTCTACAATGACTGTGGGGTTTGTTGTGATGTACTGGTGACATTCATGACTGGGGGTTTTGTTTTGATATTGTACGAAGCTCAGCCAACAACTTGAGAGGTCTCGCGTATCCACCGTCTGAATGCTGTCACCTTGAAGTGCTTGGAGTTTCTGCAATGAGTGTGGGATTTGTTTTGATAAATTGGTGACGTTCAGGTGCTATCCTGAACTAAGTTTTTTGAAAGCTTGTCTCAGAAAAGACTGTAAATATTTGGTACTTTTTTCTTCAGGTTCTGTGGAACGGGCACGACTTTTCTAGCCCCAGCCGGTGGGACAAGGTGTTCTGCATGACGCTCGCCAACAACCAGTTGTGGCTGGACATCAGGTGCTCACTGAATCCCGCTTGGTCTGTGCGGTGGTGTGGCCTCCCACCGCCTGACCGTAGACTGCTCAATCTTGCGCAGAAACTCTTGACCGCTAAATTGCCCTTAGGTGGACACCGGCCGCCGTTTCACTTACTGTAAGGGGAACCTTTTTTTTTGTCAAGAATGATCTTCTTGGTTCTGGCACCTTACACACTCGTCCCAGTGGTGCGGGAAATATAAGCTTGATGCTGGTTGTTGCATCTATGAGCCTGGCATCACTTAGTTTCTTCGTCGGCAACTAGTTGTCGATCCCCTCTTTTACGTTCACGGGACCCCCTCTCGCATTCACGGGACCCCTCTCTTCAGAGTCTTGAATAAGCCTTGCACAAACTAAATTTCTTCATCCTACGTTCTCGATCCCCTCTCCGATTCACGAGTTTTGAATTGGCGGGACCCCTTTTTACGGGAACCTCTCTCACGGGACCACCTCTCGCATTGACGGGACCCCTCTCTTCAGAGTCTTGAATAAGCCTTGCACAAACTAAATTTCTTCATCCTACGTATGTTCTCGATCCCTTCTTGGATGCATGGCACCCCGGTTCAATTTGCGGGACCCCTTCCAACGGGAACCCCCTCTCACGGGACCCCCTCTCGCACTCACGGGACCCCGTCTTCAGAGCCGCTCCAGACCTGGTCAACTCCGCGGGGCTACGCCCAGCCCCCTCCCGGAAAGGACCACCCCCGGCGGATGCCGTAGACGGCGCGGATGCCCTTGTCCCACCCCCTGCGGGCCACAGCACTGCGGTCGAGGGCACCGCAGCGGCGGTGGGACGATCAGAAGCGATTGCGCCGGTAGAAACGGTGGCGGCGGCGGCGGCGGCGGCTACAACTGCGGCGGCGGCGGCGGTGTCACCGGCGGACACACCGCTGGAGACCCTCGAGAGTCCGGCGGCTTCTCCGCTGTCGGGGCAACGGCAACGACGAAAACAGCAGCAGCGGGAGACGTCGGCATGTCGGCGGCGGCGGCAGCAGCAGCAGCAGCAGCAGCAGCGGGGTTCGGAGCCGGCCCGAAAAGACTCCGAACGCGAAGAAGAAGCAACAGGAGAGCACAAGACGGAAGCAGCACGCAAAGGGCGGCGGGGGGTACGAGCGATACTATCCGCGGGGACCCCAAGCCCCCGAGACGTGCCCGCCGGCGCAAGCGGGGAGACCCGCAGCAGCGAGACAGCGGCGGCAGCGGTTGCCACGGAGGGGGCGCCGCCGCGGTCTGCGGCGGCGGCGGCGCCGGCGGGGTCGCTGCAGCTGCCGCTGCAGAGCC